TGCTGCCCATCCAGAATAACAACATCTGGTATTTGAATGTTTGGATAGTTTTTAGGAAAACCTTTTACTGCTACGGAAAAACCTCCTCGAATAGTACTGTACGTGCATTGCACATGAAGCTCCGTGTCCAAGTCAGGTGTATATTTGTTAGCTGCACAACATGCCCACCGTTACCTCACCATTGTTAGATTTTGACAGACTTTAGATGGAAAGTTTTTAGCTAAATGCTCAGAGGGTTTAGTTTTAGCGGAGTATAGTGAGATCAAGTTGAAACACATACTTTTTTTTTTCTTCAAAAGACGGAAGAATGTCTAAACCATTGGAGATGTCAGTGCAAAGTTTCAGTAGAAAGAAAGCAACCATATTATTTCCGCACAGGAGTGGAGAATGTTCATTTATGTCAACAGCAGCACACGTCTACTCTGGAGACATTATGACATTGAATAAACAGCCCTGTGGACCACTTTCAATTCCGCAGAGGAAATGAAATGATTTGGACCCGCTAAACAGTGACAGTTACAGTTTATTTTTTGCCCTACTCATTACCAGTGCAGCGCGTTGATCGCTACGCTACCCTAAGGTATAAATTACGTCCCCATGCAGACGGAAGCTTGCTCGGCAGAAGTTTGCTCAAGGCGCCAGACTTGAATACACACCAAGTCAATGCAGTGTCGACTGAGTTTTTTTCAGTATATGGGCCCTGCAGGCACCCGACCATTTCAGGTAGGCACTGGACTGTTGCAATCGCTGTCAGGACGGATGCGTCAGTTTGAGATTGGCTGGAATATGTAGAACACAGTATTTTTGGCATTAGGTCTTGGCACAGTGCCTGGGGAAAGGTGCATTGTGGGATTTGTGGAGGCGTTTCTATTGACCCTGTTCCTTAAAAAAAAGGACCTGGTTTTACATATAGATAAGCAGGAACTCCTTCTTGGACCAGCCAGCACTGTAAAGATACAAAGTCTAGCAAAAATCCACAGCAAAACGTTTCAGAGGTGGAAATCTTTTCAGTATTTTGCAAATTTCCACAATGAATATGTTTTCAGTGGGGCCAGAATTATTAGAGATGACCATTTTCCAAAAAGTGATATTCAAGTTTTTCTTTTATTGTATTCTCTGTGTGTTTTTAAATGAATCGTAACACAACATGACAAAAAAAGTCACCTATGGACAAACAACTTTAAACTGTCTTATTTCTTTCATGAAAACAACTTGCTTATCTTTAATTGTGTTGGAAGCAGATCTGTCTGAATGGTTCCTCACTGTATGGATAGTGTCAGAACGAACAAGTCATGCAAGGGGGGCTTCTTTTGCCTCGTTTTACATTTTTTTTTTTATTTAGCATAAACTGATTGCGATCGCTGTTGCCGGGCGGTATTTCTTGTCAAGTGGGCACCCAGGGCTCAAATGAATCAAATCTAGACGGCCTGAATTTGTCCTCCCTGTCGAGACACAGTGCACACAATCTGATTAGAGAGGGCAATCCGAAAGCCAAAATACTCGATTATTGCTGACAGGCCTTCCACAGAGGCCAACATTTCTTTGCTGTTCAGCAGTCGTTCGATCGGATCGACAGTAGCCGGGTTCGATCGGATCGACAGTAGCCGGAAACGTGGTGCGAGTGGCATCGCGGCATAAGATTTGGTGTTTTGTGGTCAAACATTCAGCTTGAGATCTGCTGATGCTTTATGAATATCAGAGATTAAGCGTGGGTCCAGAACCATTTGGGAGGGGGAGGGAGATGAGCCAAGAGTGTTTCGGAGGCATATGACCTGTTTGGGAAGTCAGGTATTTGAAAAAGAAAGGAAATGAAATAACCCCCCCCCCCAAAAAAAATACCTCTCAATATGTTTGAAACAATTTTTTCTTTTTTTTCTTTTTTCTCTCTTTTTTTTGGGGGGGGGACCTAGGTGGGGATTGTCCTTGGTTTCCCCCCCCATTCTGCCAAGTGTCCAAAATATGTATATATGGAATCAGGATATTTCAGAGTCACTTTGTATAGAATATTAATACAAGGCACGTCCGATTTCTTTAAACCAAGAAACCCTGACAATCCCGAGTCCTCCAATTTCAATAGTTTTGCATCCACAAAGATGCCAATAAATAAGGGGATGGAGTTAGTGGTAACCCACCTAGCCTGAACAAATCTCTCCTGGGGTTGCGGAGGACGTTTGGCTGCATTCATGAAGGATGAGCCCGCTACTGCACTTATACCTGGAGCTTGACGCTCCCTCCAAACCGGGAGTACAAAAATGTGTACCATTAGTTTCCTTCACAGGGAATGATTGTGGAGGATTCAGAAAGGTTCCCAGTAAAATACCAAGGAGTCGGTAGTAATTCTCCGATCTGGATTTGTAAAGAAATTGATCCAATTCTCCGACGGAATTTTTTTGTCCTTTGACTAAACTGATTACGTTTTGCCAGAGTTACAGAGAATCCTCCAGGGAGAGTCGGCGGGGATGCATAATTCACTTTGGCTGGTAGTTTGAAGGTTTTCCAGGGGTCAGCAGACCTTGGACCAATTGAATTTGCCCTTTCCTATTCAATTGTCGATGCTTTTGGCCCTTACTTTGAAACTGGTCAATTGGTCTTGGCCATCTGCACCTGGGACTGATTGGGAGCATTAAAAAAAACAGACGGAATGATGCACTGATAGGTGAAATTTCTGAGTTGCTGTCCTAGTGAGATCAATACATGTAGGCAAGTGTGATGTGGATATAATGGCAAAATAGTTTTTGTTTATTGGCCCTGTGTTAACTGTAGCTTTTTTATGCTCTGCTGAGGTTGTCTGTGATCTCCACTGTTTGATACTGTTTCATGTACATGTAGTCTTCTTTGTCTAATGAAAATAGAAAGTATTTATAAACGGACATTTATTCGCCCTACTTACATTTACCTAGGTGTGAAGAAACTACTTCAGTGTCATTTCTATCTTAGGCACGTATTTTGTCAGAGTCAAATTCTATCCTTGAGTCAGAATTCCCCCGTTTAGTCAGTACACCTCCTGGTCACAATTTCAGTTCAAAGAACGGTTGACTCCTGCCCAGTCTCTAGCCATCCACACTGGCATCATGACCCTTTGCTGCATCCCTTGCGTACAAGTGCGCATACCCGCGAGACTCTCCACCGCACTACATTTCACGTTCTCTGTCGCGCTCCGCTAATACGAGTCCTTGGTCTCCATTATGAGGTCAGTGTTTTATGACCAGACCGGAGCAGTCTTCGAGGAGCTGGGGATTTGAAGTATTCGAGGGGGGGGGAGCCGAGAGAGGCTCCTTTTAGACCCTTGCTGGTAGCGTCTTGAGGTCTTTCATGGAATCACTCATCATGTTCTTGGGGTGCAACTTGGCTCAGTGTTTCTTTGGGGTAGCGTGGCCTTTTCACTTCGTATTCTTAGCCTGTGCTTATTTGTTTACCTCCATCTTTGTTTCGTTCCTTTGCCTATCATTTTAGAGCAAACAGGTTTACATAAAATATAAGCTATGATTGCATCTACTCATATCTTAGGAGATGTAGGTTTTGCCACCAAAGTACAACAGTATAGACTCCTCCATTCCAAAGATCCATGAATTGTTGTTAAACTCCCATTTGTGCACCTATGTACTCTCCGTCAATTGATTAATTAATAATTTATTCATTTACAAAGCCCAAATTGTATACCTTTATTTTTCAAATGTGCTGTACTATGGAGCCAATGGCGTACAAGGCAGCTGCCAAATGACCCAAATCTGCCCACATCTGTAGAGATGAGCCAATAAGAAGCAGTTTAATTGTGGGAGGAAAACCCCAAATAAGACATTTTTTGGCCAAACCCATGGAATCAGGTAGGGACTGAAAACCCAGTTTTGCAGGCAATGTAAAGTGGCAGATTTAGAACACCATAGACAACAAACATTCTGAACATTGCTTTCAGGACCCACCTTTTTTCCACAAAAAGTTTCCTACGAATATAATTTATTACACAGCGTTATTCCGTTTATAATTGAAGAATGCTTGTGAGAAATCCAACTGACAGTTAAATGGTTATGTGCATATTAAGCCCTTCTTTACACTCACAGCCTTATCACATCACTCAGTCTACATTTGTGAATCAGAGAGTGCGGAAATCGATGAGTCGGCGCTCGCTACTCAAAGACACTCGTGCAAAAGTTTTGCTAGTCATTCAGCATGGTAAAGAGAGGATGTTGGACCATTTAGGTTCATATCCGGTGAAGAGGCTTGGCTGGACTGGAAGAAGGACTCTTGGAAGTGCCACTCCAATGCAGGAAGAAAGGCTGTCATTTCAAAAATGAAAGCCTTCAAGCTTTTCAGATTTCACAAATGAGAGAGAACGTGAGAGCTCCGATCTAAAGTTTGGGGCACCAGGGATGACGAGTTTGTACTTTGTCTCCGGATTCAAGTGTTTAATGTTTTAGCTCTCTGTGGCCATCAGGGTGGGGGACGAAAGAAGTTGTTTTGATGGATGTACTTGAGGTTATCAAGGGTCAACAATTCTTGTCTGATGGCAAGGCTCGTGCTTGAAAAGTTTGCTAGTCGTGAGGAGGGAAACACCTCTTTAGGTCTCTCAGTAGAGGGTTATTCCACTCCAGATTTCTGTTGGTTTAATTCTTGAACATTTTTATTTATTGGCCAGGGGAAACAAAGTGGGGAATACCAGCCATCTCACTGATTTCCCGTAGTTTTGCTGTGAATGGAAAACTTCTCAAAATATTGAACAGAAAGTTGAGATGGTTATCGCTGTAATTACCCGTTACTATCATTAAATTTTGTTCAAAGAATTTCTTCAATCTGTTATGGTTAATAAATATTCGTTCTTCTCCACATTTTGACTCCTTTTGGGAATTGCGATACATGCATTCAGTTTGTTTTCAAATAATAGTGTATTTGCAGATGAATTTTTTTTAAATGTGATTATCTCCAGAGACTCTGACAGTGCATCGATATGTCCGTAGGTAAATACCTGTCACTTTAACGCCAAGTTGCATTCTCCTTTCTTTCAGGAGGAAACAGTTGACACCCTGGAAGAGAGCAACAACAAGCTGCAATCGGACTTGAAGCTGGCCTTCAAGAGGATAGCTGACCTACAGCACGCGCTGCAGGATAACGACGACAGCGAGAGTGATTTTGGAAGGTGAGAACAGTGATGTTCACCCTGACCTCTATGCAGTCACGGGAAAAGCTTTTTAACGGAGAGCTGGATTAGTGACTGGGGACTTGTGTTTGTGTCAGAAAATAGTTCCAAAGTGTTCACTGAGAAGATTGACACTTGCTGGATACAGAGGTAACAGGTTTAACCACTCCCTGCCGGGGCAAGAATCAATGTTGATGATGCTGGGGCAGGATATTTATCCTTTTTTTCTGTTTTCAAAATTCTTTAAAAATTCCTATTTTCATTTACTGCACACTTCTACCCACACAAAGAATTGTCTGGTCTCCCCTCTAGCCTGACAGACAAAATCTATTGGCGCCCGAGTATTTCAGCCAGGCCTGCAGCCTTGTAAAAAAGAGCCCAGATTGTGCGGTGTTATGTAACTTTCTTTTGTTCACGAACCTGGCACAGTGCACTACTGACTTCTTTTCAATAGGGGCCAGATTAGCATGCAGTGGTGCTTTGTGGCTCATCACTGCGGTGGTGGAGCGCTTTTGTCCCTGGTGGTAATCCGCTCGCTCTAAATGCCCCAAACCGTGGTTAACTGTTTCAAAACAAAGCTAGATTTTCTCCACTATTGAGAGTGAAAAAATGTTGGTAATGCCCAGTAGCCTGGTCTTTCGTTCAGAGTGCGGTCTTTTGTTACAAGGCCCAGTTCCCTTTGTCTGTGTTTGGAGACCCAAAGCAGAAAATGCCCAATTCTGGTAAATTTTAGTCGATAACATTCAAGCTGTGGCACCTGGGTTCCTGCCTGCGAAGACATCACACTTATATGAGGACATTCACATTAGTACAAAAATGCAAAGGCACCAAAATGTCTGCAACACGGCATCACAGAATGTGGAAATCAGGTGAAATACATGGACTGTCTTTTTAAAAATTTTTTTGCATTTTCCCCCCCCCCACTGACCTGATTTCAAAAGCACCGTTTCCAGTATACTATGCCGAGAGACCTACTTTCTGACTCAAGTGGCCATCAAGAGTCACAAAGATGGGGCTTCATGAAGTCCCTCAAGTGGAAGCCTGATTGCCAAGAAGGCAAAAGGCCACTGAATACAGAGCTGAAACTTCTCGGGGACTTTGGGGGGGCATTGGGGAAATGTCAGTTCTTAATTATTTTTTCCTCCCTTTGCCAAAGTAATTTCATAAGCGTATACTCAGTTTAATTGAGTGCGATTCAAACCCGAGATCGTCTACTTAAATGTACCTGTTCAGATGTCTTGAAGGGTCCACCCAATACAATTACCTTAATATACAGGTATGCTTGAAATTGCATATTTAGGGTTATTTTCAGTGTAGCTGTTTTGATATGTATATTGGGACCTTTTTTATGCTAATGTCAAGTTGCATATTCATGAGCAAAACTGTGATGTCATCCTAGGAACTGAACCTCAGTGTTGCATTGATTTGTGCAAGAAAAAACTGCTAGAATTTTTTATATTTGCTGTCGTAAATTTTCATTTCTTTGGCAGTTTATTTTGGTGTAAGTACGTGTATGTGACAATAGGCCAATAAACAACCTTTTTCTGAGAAATTCTTCAAGAGCAAATTCAAGGTTCAGAATTTAACCACTGGCTGCCGGGGAGCCCGGTTTCAGGCACATATTCTTTATATGCATAGCCAGGGTCTCCGAAATCTGACAAAGGGAACTGGGCCTTATGATAAAAGACCGTACTCGTAACAAAAGTCCAGGCTGCTGGGCATTACCAACGTTTTTTCACTCTCAATAGTGGAGATAATCCAGTATTTTTTTAAAAAGTATACCACTGTTTGGGGCATTCAGTACGAGCGGATTACCACCAGGGACAAAAGCGCTCCACCACCGCAGCGATGAGCCACACAGCACCGCTGCACGCTAATCTGGCCCCTATTGAGGTCAGCAGCATACTGTGCCAGTTTCGTGAACAAAAGACAAGTACGCAACACTGCACAATCTGGGCTCTTTTTACAAGGTAGCAGGCATGGCTGAAATACTCAATAGATGTCTGTCAGATTAGAGTAGAAACCAGACAGTCCTTTGTGTGGGTGTAAGTGTCCAGTAAATGAAGATAGGAATTTTTCAAGAATTTTGAAAACAGAAGAAAATGAAAAACATATCCCGTCCCAGCAGAATCAACATTCATAAATGCCCCCAGTGCGATGTGGTTAAACACAAAACTATGGAAACTGAACAGAGTCTTTCGTGATTTCAAGCACAGCGACAAGTGCCTTCTCTTAGCTGGAAAAGCTTGGACAATTTTTATAAAAAGTACCCTTTTCTGTACAATTAGCTCACACAATTCATGCACACGGAAGGAGAATATGAAGATGCAGGAAAAGCGAGTGTCAGGGAAATGTCCTCGGTAGGATACTTCACCAACGCCAACCTCTGCACTTGCCAAGATGCCGCGCAGTGGTTGCTTATCCCATTGACGCAAATTGAACACTCAAACGTTGCTTCAAGAATTCCATTACCCATGTGCATGTATTGATCCACGGACCATGGTGGCTGGTCAATCAAGTCCAAGGGACTTCATCTGGGACTTTATTGGAACAGTGCAAACCCAACTCATGATTCTGCCCCAACTTGAACACCAACCAAAAGGAGAAACGGAGAAAGCTTTGAGAAATCCCCGAACAAACAATGAGAAAGATGAGTCGGACAGACGTGGCATGGGCTCCCATGTTTACCCTCAAAGTGGGCCGTCAAGCCATATCTTAATGGCCAATCATCCTGGGCACACACAGCCAGTTGACAAGCTCGGTTGTCATTCCTTCCCCTCTGGGATATATCTCCATCGACGGACAGGAGAAGAAAAGAAAAAAAAATCTCCAGCCCCCACAATCGGTGATTGTTATCTGTTGACTGGAACAACCTGCAATAACAGCACTGCCGGCCTGTCCCCCTCCTGCTATTGTGGCTCTACTTGATTAGATTGAAAGCTGATATTTGATTGTACACAAAACAAAAAGGTGACAGCACTGAAATACAAAGGCCTTTTTTTTCCCTCCCCACTGGGCTAATACTCTCCTCACTCCCGTACTCTGTGTAACACCAGGCTGAATGCCAGGCTTTGTGCAAGCCAGCTCTTACCTGGGCATGAGTGCTGAAAGAGCAAAGTTTATTTTGCCAATCTTCTCTTCCCAATTTGTCATGGTTGGTTTTAAAAGGGGGGGAAAAGAAAACAAGTTTGGTGCCCGGCACAAATGCAAGATATGCTTCGGTGGCCGAAGCGGCCGTGTTTTTACAGCGCCAGGTTGTGCCTGTTGCAGACGCAAACATTTATTTGAGGTGTCGGCGGATGATTTGTGGCGCGAACTTTCCCGGAAAGCCCCAATACCGTCAGACATTACCTGCATGCCCAGTTGGTTAAAAGGAAGCTCTACACCTGTGATTTATGATCTGCCGCTCGCGTAGTACCGATATCCCCCTGAAAAATGAAGAAAGCATATATCACAGGCACGTCTACATACATGTACATCAATTTGCATCTACGTGTGTTGCATACCTCTCCCCTCCTAACAGCAACAGCAACGTCATTCCACGCATACATGGACATTCCTGAATTCTGGCACTTTATAGACACACTTTGGCCAAGTCTAAACACTGCTTAGGAAAATATACGTATGTATTATAACCCTCGGGGAGCAAAAAACGAAGCCTTTCTCCATTCTGTTCAGTACGTGTATGTCACAAATTCCATTGAGGAAACTGAGTGGCTTTCTAGGAAGAGTAAGATTGTATTTTCAAAGTGCATCATTTCTGCAGTCAGAAACTCTTGTTTGAGTTTTTATCCGCTGAGAGTTGAAAGGCATCCTCACTGGCAAAGCGCAGACAGGCTGGTGGGAAGCTTTTCAACGAAATTCATGCACGCACTGGATATTGGTGATGGGGACGCAGCACATCCCAAACAGTCATAAACCTGTGTTCCCAGACACAGTGAGTCTCCGCTAGAGGACACATCATCGTTATGCCAAACAAAGCTCGACCTTTCTTGTTCCCACTAGGAGCGGATCGAGCTGTCTGAGTTTGCTAGTCCATGGTGTTACAATTCTGAATCAGTGCAGAGCACCACAGTTTGTTAGTGCAGTTGGGTTGAAAGTGAGGCTGGACTGGCAAGTTGATTCTGACTTTGTGCCCTCTCAAGCATGTAACGTGAGACCGAACCTTTGTTTTGCAAGAGTGAGCTAACGTTCTTTGCAATGAATCATTATTTAAGAAGACCCTGTCGAAACACCTGCAGACGTTTATTTAACCCAAACTCCCTAGGCTCTGTTTGATTTTGAAGTACATGTACTTAGTACCTCAGTGGCCTGTCACCTTTATTGACTTCACAAAAACATGTGGATATGGGTAAACGTGAGGCAAAAATCCAACAGAGGCTGTCTGTGATTGTCAAAGACTGTCATCAAAACTTGTTTCCGAAAAGAAAACCCGGGTCAGATTATCTTATTGTTCAGAAATTTGTCCTTGATTCCTATGATAGCACTGAGTCCGACAGCGATGACATGCCCGAATACAGTCGTCGCTACAGTCGGTACTCGTCCCGCAGTTACCGAGACAGCACCAGCAGCTTGGAATCCACGCCGCGTCTCGCACGGCGACGTGTCCTCTCCTCAGCCTCGGAAGATGCCGCCCCAAGGTAAATGCCCAAATAAACTTCCTGGGTTTTTTTTCAGAGAAAAATTGGTCAACCCTTTTCTTTGTGGGTAACTTCACGAGAGGGTCCTCTTTTAGTCTCAAACGTAACACTATATTTTCTTCAATTACTCAGTCTTTGCAAAGATTGGTCATGTAAATATTATTGTAGGTTTTCTCCTCCCGATGCTCAATAGTACAGTACAAATCACTGAAATGTGTGATCATCTCTGAGGGTCAAACTCCTGTTGCACTTCATGTAAGCGCATTAAGAATCTTGGACTTGCCTCTGTCACCAGGGTGGTTCATGCAAAGATGGATTGAAACATGCAAGAGCCTCACAAAATGTTTTTTAATTCAAATGTTGAATTTTGCCAAGCGTGCTTTTATCAAGCTGTAGAGAAGGGCATTAAGTTACTTTCCAGTTTTCAAAGATCTTCTTTGAACTAAATCATGAATACTCACTTGATGCACATGTATTTTTTTTTCATATATTACACATTACAAAACAAATCCCCAATGTCAGTCACATGCTAATGTTACCCCAGTTTCGGTTTTGGAAACATCCCCAGAGGAGACCAATCGGGCAAGACAGCTCAATAACTTGAATGCATTGGTTTTATAGGAGAAAGTGGCCACTGTAGGACTGCATGAGTGGGATGTTTAACTCATTGCTTGTTATTATGCGTAGTCTTTGATACAGCAGAGCTGTCGATGTTAATATCAGAATGCATTGTTTATGCAAATGTAGGAGCATGTAATCCTATGTAATACCTTCGTTATACCTTCATGTACATCATTCAAATCACCATGTAGAATTCTAACAGGGTACCAATAGAAGTGCATTGTGAGTTTGATATCAGTGACCAGATCCATTCATCACATGTTGAAATTATCCAAAAACTAACCCAGAAAATTTCAAAATGGCCTCATGCTACTACATATCCATCCATCTGCATGGCGGAAAGGAAGAGAGAAAAAAGATTCATTCATTTCCTGTTCTGATGAAACAGAGACGAGTAAATCGTTTCACACTGTCTGGTGTGATCCAAGAGTTGTTGCAACTGCCACCCAGTATGCGGTC